GTGTGCATAACACCATCCGATTTGTAACTAATTTTGTGGTTGTATGGATGTTCTAGGGTCGATAACGAAAATGAAATTGATGTTTGCATTGTCTGTGAGTTTTAGGTGATTTTTAATTAATCTATTTATTTTGTTTATATGCATTTTGAGACATCTTTATGAATTGATCCAAGACCTTTTGTTAGTGTATTCTTTTTATGTTTATGTTTTTGTTACTTTTGGAGTTTAGGATAATTTTAGCGCGGATGTTGTGGGATCATCGCTGGAAACCCTCCCGAGACTACAACTCGTCAACTAGGCCACCTAGGGTTTAAAGGCTTGTTGCATACGTTAATGCAATCGTGTCAATCTACGAAAGTGGTTTAGGATAGTTTAGATATAGGTTTTAATTGGTTGTTTTATTTTCAAGTTTAGAGACTTATTTTATCGCTTATTTTGCTAGGGACTAGCAAAAAGCTGTTGGGGTGTGATAGAGCTTGAATGTTGATATTTTGTTGTGATTTAATTGGTTTATTTATGGAAAATGTGCTTAAAGTGTGGAATTTGGATTATTTCTTTCATAAATACCATTTATGGGTCACGGGTGCACTTTAAGTGTTTTCAGGCTCAAACAGGTTGTTGAAGGGAAAAGAATGATATCGATAGGATTCACGACACGTAGACAAACGGCACAAGAATCATGATCGAAATGAGGGAGTTGTGGTACGTCGAAGATGTACGGAAAATCTGGAAATTCTTCATCATGAGTATGCCTCGATGTTTCTATCATACTTGAGCTGTAGAAGTCGTAATTTGACATTCTGGTGCGTTGGAAAGCTTTTCAAAGAGCTACAATGTTCATGTTATTACTTTATCTAATTCTGAAGTTTACAGGTTCTTTGGATAGAAACGATCGCCGCGGCGTCATTCTTACCGCCGCGGCGATGGGTCGCGGGTTTGTGTTAATTCATTATCCTAATTCGAATCTGAATGGGCCAAGTTTTCTAATATTTTTCCTAAGCGCGACCCAGAACCCTAAGGATATAAAGAGAGTCTTGAAGAAGTTAGAAGGGGACTTTGGAGAGAAGAAGAGACGGCTACCAATTTGGAGATCGGGATCCTGAAAGCTCTCGTTTACCGTAGAGAAGTTTATCTTTTTCTCAAATTGATGTCATTAATGAGAATGTGGTTTTGTTATTTTCATTATAACTAATTTCTTGTCTAGGCTAAGATGTAGCCCGATTTATGAATATGTTTTGACTTGAATGTTTGTTAATCTTACTGAGTTTATAATTCTGAGTTTTATTACTATGCTAATGCTTTCAATTCTCAAGGGCCCGAGGGTTGAATGATTTCAAGGGTTAGGTTGAGATCGGAGAGATGAAACCTGATTTGTCTTTAATAAAACCATAGTTGAGCGAACGCTAGAGATAGGTTACCGCGATCTGTGAGGCTCCGGTAAATTCCATAAGCTTAATGATCTCTTAGCTCCTAATCCAATTTAGAGATATCTTGGGTTTTGTTTAAGGGTTAATTTGCTAATTGCTCGAGAGAGAGTTAGTGGAATAATAGGGGATTTGGCTTTTAGAATACACTCGATTAGGTTAACAACAAATGTCAATGCATAGAATTAAATTGGTGTGAAATCTATGCCCTAGGTTTAGTCATATTGATTTTTACTTCAAAGTGTTTACAAGTTCTACTTTTATTCAGTACTTAATTTTTAGTTGTTAGTTTATTTACTTTTTCATTAAATTCATTCTTAAAATTCAGTTTAATCAAATAGCAATAAAATAGATTAGTTTGGTACTTGGTAGGTAGTTCCCTTGGGATTCGATACTCGTTTACTCGAGTTTTACTACTTGCACGATTTCGTACACTTGCGAATAGCCTGTCAGAGAACATAAAAATAAGATCATATATACGAGTAATTTTTCTGAATATAACTATAGCATCATAGTTAAAGATTCATATGTATACTATAATCTTTAGCCAAAACAGCGAACGAACAATCATCACCAGCAAAAAACACTGTATCCTCCAGCTCATCCACCACCGGAACCCACTCATTTCTCTTTTCGTCAAGCTTGAAAGCCTCAAAATACATCCGGCTATCTTCGTATGCCCAGTATTGGAAAACCAAAAACAAGTCCTCACAGGACTTCACCAAGTAATATCGACTAATAGGGATATTCTTATCCATATTAAAGTATTACTCATTGTAGATGCAAAAATCTACCGTTGCGGAAAGAGGGATTGATCCCATGAGGTTAAGGCCACTAGCGATCTACTGCACCTGTTTACGTGAGAAAACAGGTGTGAAGTAGACGGAAAACATCGGGGTGGTGACACTTAAGTTAGCAAGGCTAAGCGAGGCTAATTTAGTGAGAGCTAGGGAGAAAAAAGGCTACTAGAAATCTAGTCGGGGACTGTGACTACGGCTGTAATGCGAAGTTCTCAAGCGGGAACTCTAAGGTTTGAAGGTGTAATATAATGTGTCCCTTGTGAGAGGGCTGACCTCTGCTTAAATAGTGACTGTATGACTTCCCAATCCTGGTGGGATTAGGAGTTCTCGTAGTAATCGTTCCCCCAAAAGGTGTAACCATTGGCCTCCTCATCCTAGTGTGAAAAGGAGTTCGAACATGACTCGGATATAGACCTTGGAGGAATTGGGATAGTAGTCAACTTCCTTATCAGAGTTCAAGTAGGAGTGTAATCCGTAGGTGACTGTGAGCTTCGAATTGACAGTGAACCCAGAAGGTGTGCTAGAATCAAGAGGCCTGGGTCCAAATGGTATGGACCTACTGCACTTCATATCGGATAGGCCTCATCTGCGGAATTCTAGCTTGGGCCACATTGGGACTAGGCCTAGGCTTTCTTCTTTGTCAGGAGTGTTACCTTGTTTGGGCAAAGGGCGTTTTCTTGCCCTAACACTCATATAATCCAAAACATAGAATTTTCTGTAATGATAAATTATATCTTCATAATTATCATGACCAAGGTAAGTATATGTCAGTTAAACTTTTATCTCCGATTTTCCAACCAAACGGTTTACCCGCAGGATGAATAGCCATAACAGATAACTGATGTCAGGAGCCGTAGAAGCCACAACTTTAACGAAAAAAGTGTGCTCTTTTTTTTTTTTTTTTTCCCCAAAAACATTTCACTACGAAACAATCTGCTTCCACTTTTGGACTTATGGACTGGTTCAAGTTGATACACTTGTTAGTTCTTTAATCTGATAATCCGACAAGTTGAGACATTTTGGTAACGATATCCTCATAGTGGATCCTTCGGCCGGACTTCGCCGGAGTTCATGTGCTCGATTTTGATCATCCACCTTTGCGTCGTTTCCAGTGGGTTGGAGAAAGAGTGACGTGTTTAGACGGGGTAAATCGTCGACAAGGTGAGTTAAAAGTGGTTGGCAGGTGCGGCGATCCGCCTGGTTTGCTGAGTGCGGCTGTTATTTTCAGGGTTGAGGGGGCCGGAAATGAGCTCCGTCGAGCTGATTTTGGAATTAGGTTTCTCAAGGGAGGTGAGACTAGAGAGCGAAACGTGTCACAAACAGCCCGAAAACGTAGAGTATCGTCAACTGAGTGGAGACTTTTGGCCATATCAATGAGGATATCTTCGGGATGAGTGGAAGAATCGTGTGTGGCCAGGTCACTCTGCTCCATCTCCATGGTTTGGCAAAGCAAACAAGTTATGATAGACGAAAACCAGAAAACGAGAAGAGCAAGATGAAGAAGAAGAAGTAGAGAATTTTGGAAAAGCCGAGAGTGAGTAGGTGAGATTTTGAGGTTAAGAAATGAAACTGGAGTACAATAGGAGGGTATTTTTGGAATTGGAGCGTACTTTTGAATTCGGAAAATTCTGCAATTTCTGACGAGCAACATGGTAGTGGACTTGGTTTGGCTTTACTAGGATAATAATAAGTTAAGCCCGGGATCATGGTTTCTTGTCCAAGGATGTCCATAAACCATAATCCAAGGGCAGCAAGCGTATGATAGGGCATACTATTTGAAGCCTACACACCCAAAATAATAATAATAATAATAATAATAATAATAATAAATGATTCAGGACATTATCAATAACTCTAGAATTGATTCTTTCTCAGTCGATGCTCGAGTGGTTGGCTGGAATGGATTATAAATTTGTTGACAATATTATCTACACTAATTCATATCCGGACCAAGTGTAAGCAAGCACCCAGAGACCCTAGCTCAGAAAATAGGTTAATCAAATCCAACGTCTAATCGTTCACTTCACCCTTTAGTTTTCAAGTTAAAAATTTTAGAATCTTCTCACAATTGTAATAGATTTGTACTCTCTATATCTTGTGATAGAGGTATTGAGGAATCAAAATTAGGGAAATTTTGCTTATTATGACTTGAGGGGAGTTTGTGTGCTAGCAAGAATAAGTGGATTGAAAGAAACCCGAGTTTCATTGCTATTCACTTAAAGTGATCTAGTAAGGTTCCTATATCTAAGCACATTCCAAGGCATCTGGTTTAGCAAAGTTACAGATATTTAGGGACAGAGAAGTGACACACAAGTTCTTGACACAATAAGAATTTGAACTAGAGAAGTAATTGGGCATTCAAAACTCAACCGAGATAAGATTTCTATCTGATATAAGTTTCTACAGCTTTATGAATCTCCAAAACACATTTTTAGGCTGTAAAAATTTAATGCCTAATGCCCTAAATAACAGAATTGAAAAGTTCAACTTGGTTCACATATCTGTGTAGGTAATTCATAATCTGTGTATATGCTCAGAAATTAAAACCCACATTACCATGAATTGGTAAACAAAATATAGTTTTTTGTACCTTGAGACTGAAAACAAATTCAAAGTTATCTATGAAGACTGAAGAGGTTTCTATAATCTTTGCGATTCTTTAAGCTTTCATTGCTTGTGGATAAGTAAATTCATAAAATGGAATTACTTTTGAGAAAACCAATAAAAAACTATCCAAGTAAGACAACTTCGGATTCTTAAGTAAACACACATTTGCTTTTGCGGTAATTTTTAGAGATACAAAGATAGAGAACACAATAAAGGCACGAACTAGCCTTGTGGCTAGACGACTAAACTTTAGTCATTTGAGTAAGTTATCCACAAGTCTTTGTGTTTGAGTCTCACAAACTAACCATTTATCACATTTGTGACTTATTTGACTCTTTGAGGTTACAAGTAATGGATCTTAGGATAACATCTATTTACTGAACCCTATACTACTATTTTTCGAGTTAACACTTTGTAGTCGATCAAATAATCCATGGAGATTTTGTTCCTAAAATTTGTAAAAGAGTACGTAATGAAAGTGCTAAGATGACTTTTTAATTGCAAAATTTTAACAACTCAGTAGAGAAAACACTTGCACACAGAAATAACTAGCCGATCGAGCTCCAATTAAGGGTACTCCAACCAAGTTGGTGGAGGCCAAAAAATCCCGGAAACGTCAGGAAAAGCAAAACCTTCATCCAAGTAAACCACCTTAGCATTCATTCCAGGATGATTTTCACTACTGCAACAGATCACATCATCGTCACTGAAATAAATACAATTACCCTTACATCCAGAGAACTCTTCAGCAGGAACAGAGAACGAACAATTCTCACCTACAAACAACACTCTATCTTCCAATCCCTTCTTCATCCGAACCCACTCATGTTTCTCTTCATCAAGCTTGAAAACGTTGAAATCAACCCGCTCAACTTCGTAACCATGATTATTTTGGTATGTTCGGTATTTATCAATCAAAAACAAATCCTGAAATGACTTTAACAATTACCGAAGCCCAAAATTCCAATTCTGTAACTCTGGTGGACCTGCAACTTCAATAGTATTGTTCAAAGACGTAGAATCTACACTTATAATCAGCCCCGTGGAGACCAAAACATAGAATTTATTATTATGATAAATAATATCAGCAATACTTTGATAAGTAATGTTTATATAAGTCCATTTCTTATCTACATTTCTCCACATAACGAGCTTCCCCAAAGCATACAACACCAAAATCGTGAACTCTTCATTGGTCTCATCATAGCAAGTCGAAACAACCACTTTTCTGAAAAATGTCCTTCGACTATCATCTGAAAAGAAGGACCTACGCTTACGAGGAGAAACTAATTCAAGTTGGTAGGCTTTAGCAATTTCCATGACCCGATAAGCAAGCAAGTTCAAAGAATTTGGTAACTTGTCGGACAAGTCTTCAAAACGGAGTCTGCATAGCGGATCCTGAACTTGGAGTTTGCCAGAATTCAGTTTCTGCACCCTCAATAACCATGTTTTTGTGGTTGGCTCAGAATTGGAGATTAGAGAAAGGGGCTGGATTGCATAAACAATGGACTCAGTGAGTACGCATCGGCCACGGGAGCGTGGAAGTGGGTTAGTAGGTAAAGAGATTTTGAGATCGGAGCTTGGAGATAAGGGTTTTGTTGGAGGGATAGACGACCGAAATGACTTACAAACAGCGCGGAAACGATGGAGGTCATCTGGCGAGTGGAGATGTGTTGCAATCAAAGCCAGTAAGTGTCCTGGAAGTCTGCACCAATCGGTTATAATGGTGTCCATGATTTAAAAGAAAGAAGAAGAAAACTTGAGGAAAGAGCTGAAGTTTGAGACTTGTGTTGGCAATGGCGAAGTTGATAGAATACAGATTACAGAAAATATAAAGGGGTTTTAGAATCAAAAGTGTTTAGGATCAAAATGGGATCAAATAATACATCAATTCCTCGTTTTAAACGAGTCGTTTATGGGTACAATTAATAGTCAAAAAGATGATTAATGATAGTATTTTTTTCACAAGTTGAGTTCAATTATGTGTGAAGAAGTCAAAAATTACTTATAAGATGAGTTAATAATTCCATCTAAAATAATTTTTCTAGAGAAATAAGATCAGAAAGATTTGGACAAATATCATTTCTAACAACTATCTCACATAATTCTATATATTTCTACGATATAGAAAATTATGATTTATTTACTTCATTTTCAAAGTAATTTGATGTTGACCTTATATATATATATATATAGAATTATGTGAGAAGTAGTTGTTAGAAATGATATTTGTCTAGAATTATGTGAGAAGTAGTTGTTAGAAATGATATTTGTCTAGAATTATGTGAGAAGTAGTTGTTAGAAATGATATTTGTCCAAATCATCTATTTATATCATTTCTAACAACTACTTCACACACACACACACACACACACACACACACATATATATATATATATATATATATATATGTCGGATCCAGTTCAGTTTAACTCGGGAGATGACCCAACTCATAGAATAGACAGTTCCCAAGGTATTCTAAGCGTGAGCTCAATCAGAATTGGGCTAAGACTCTAGGTCACATATTAATTTCCATATATAGAGTTGGACTTCATCTTTTCTTGCACTAGCTATTTGGAGTAAAGGTGGAACAAATGGGCCGAGTTAGGCGGGCCAACCCTAACCCAGCCCGCATTAAAGAGGGTTCAACCCGGACCGCAAATAAGGCGGGCCGGGTTGAACCCAACCAGCATGCAACCCCCGGACGGGTCGGTTTGATATATGGCAACCCGGTGACCCGCGGGTTGCTATTTTGTCCTTTCTGGAGAAAGGACCGCTAACCTGCCGGGTTGACCCGCGGGTTGGCCAAAAAAAAAAAACAAATTTAATTTTTTTTCAAATTCCCTTTTTACCCTTGAAATATAGTCGTTTTATAGCAGTTAGAGGGGTCTTTTTCGTCATTTTTTTCCATTTTTTTCTATAAATTGGCCATAAACCCTCATATTTTCTCACAACTCAAATTCTCTCATTCTCTCTAATCTCTAATCTCTCAATTATTCTCTAATCTCTAATCTCTCAATTATTCTTTTAATCTCTTTGTTATCAATTTGCTCTTATTTTAATTTTTATTAGTTTTTGCAATTTTCAATTCATATTTCATATTTTCCATATTCCAATTCTCCTTCTTTAATTTTTTATTTCTTCTACATCAATTTTTTTTTTCAACTACAATGGATAGATATTTCTTTCCCATCAATTTTAATGGTGAAGGAAACTACTATCCTAGTCCTAGTCCCTTTGAATTTACTAATATAAATGCAGGAGGAGCTTCAAATAGTCCCACTTTCCCAGTCTCAAAATCCAATACACCTCAAAATATGCCTCTGATTCCTCCCCATGCTGCTACACTTACAGCTCCCGGTGGTTCTAAAAGTCGTCCTCGTAATCATCGTTCTCGTCCAACTTCATCTCAAGCTGAAGCGGGTTCATCAACTACTGTTGAAAGCGACGACATACACACATCAGACGTTTGGACGCATTTCAATAAGTTTTACGAGGCAGAAAATGGAGTTCAAGTGAAGAAAGCAAGATACAAGTATTGTGGAAATGTTTATAAAGCTGATTCAGGTAATGGTACTAGTACTTTAAAAAGGCATGCTAATAAACATATTGTTCAACATGGAAATAGAGAAACCAATCAAACTAAAATAACTAATATGGTTCTACTTGGCGTTATAATTCTGATGTATATAGGGAACAATTAGCTTTATATATTGCTGCAACTGATTAGTCTATTAATATGATTGAAGATAAATATTTTGAAAGATTTATTAAACATTCATTTTTTCCAGGATTTAAAAGTTATTCTAAAACTGCAACTAGAAATGATTTAATAAAATTGTTTAAGAGAAATTAGAATTAAAAAATAAAATACGTAGTTGTCATGTTAGTGTGACTCTAACTGCCGATATTTGGAGTGGTAGAACTAAACAAGATTATATTTGTGTGACTAGTCATTATTTTGATAACGAATGTAAATTAAATAAATATTTATTAGGATTTAAATTAATGGATATAGATCATAGTGGTCAACAAATTTATAATAAAATTGTTGAAGTTTTAGAAGATTATAATATTGTTAATAAAGTGATCAGTTTAACTTTAGATAATGCAAGTGCTAATACTACAACTATAGATTTTTTTCAAAGTAATTATCTTTTTATAACAATTTGAAGTTTTTTCACCAACGTTGTGCATGTAATATTATTAATTTAATTGTGAAAAGTGGTATGAAAACAATTAAAGAAAATATTGATAGAATTAGATATTGTTTAGCTTGGATTATTGGTAGTAATAAAAGAAATCCTGAATTTCAAAATGCTTGTACAAAATCAAATATGTCTCCTAGAACTTTTGCATTAGACATGCCTGTTAGATGGAATAGTACTTATTTAGTGCTTGATTCATGTTTATTTTATACCAATTTAATTAGTTATTTTATAGCAAATAATAGAGGTCCTTATTATTTGGTAGAAAATGATTGGCATATAGTTAAAATATTTCATTCTTTTCTTAAAATTTTTTACCAATCTACTTTACAACTTAATTTCTGGTGTATATTATCCTATTAATCCATTGGTAATACATACAATTATAAAAATTTCTAAGTTGTTTACAAAAAACAAAAACAATGAAATTTTAAAGGAACCAATAAAGGCAATGAAATTTTTTTTTTTTTAAATATTGGAAACTCATTCATTTTCTTTATTGTTTAGGTGCTATATTTGATCATATAATTAAATTAGCAGGTTTAGAAAATGGTTTTGACAATTTATGTGAAAATTTACAAATCAAAGCATATGCCAATCAAATAGGAGAGGTAAAAAATTATCTTGTAAAAGTATATTTCCAATATAAAAACAGGTATGAGAACCCGCAAAGAGGCGAAATATCCAGGGAAGCTGCATCAGAAGAAACAAATGAAGACTTTTACTCTTGGAGTGCACTGAATAGGCCAAAAAGGACCCGAATCCGAAGTACAACCTCCTCTTCAAAAGCACCACCACTAACAACAACAACTAATATACTGTCCACCATGCAATCACAGAGTAATGAGCTTCAAAAATATTTGGCAACCCCTGAAATATTACCAGCAGATCCACAACAGAGAGCCAACTTTAATGTCTTAGAATATTGGAAAGCCAGAAAATATATTTTTTCGGTATTATCAAGACTTGCCTTGGATGTTTTTGCTGTTCCTGTCTTAAGTGTCTCATCCGAACAAACATTTAGTGCAAGTGGAAGAATTTTAAATGAAAGGAGGACTAAACTTTCTCCAAAAATGATTGAAGTCCTCACATGTCTTCGAGATTGTGAACGTTCTTGCTATCAAGATCAATACGAGGTTGTCGACGATACTTTAATAGAATTATTTTAATTTTGTAATAGAGATGATACGGATGAGAGAGGTCCTAGTCAACCACCCTCAAATTAGTTGTTTTGTAAATTGTAACTTGTAAATTAATTGTCAATTATTGCACTCTTTTTTCTTTACCAAGTTTTGTCCCATTGGGTTTTCTTGGTGAGGTTTTTAACGAGGCAATAATTGTTGTAATTTCTTATTTTATTTTTTGATAAATGAATAAATCTAATTTTTCTTATATTACAATTTTATTGTATTAAAATTGAATTAATATTTGAAATGTTAACCAAAAAAAAAAAAAATTAATTTAATTGAATTATTGATATTTGAAAAGTTAATTAAAAACAATTACATTTATTCATTTATAAATTGTTAATTATTCATTTGAAAAGTTAATTAAACAAAACAAGATAAAATAAAAAAATAAAAAAAGGGGCTAACCCGGCCTGACCTGTAGCCTAACTCGGCGAGTTAGGGTTGGCGAGCCAGGCTGGGCCAGTCAATCCCCAAAAAATGGTGGGCCTAACTCGGCCTGCCTTTGTTAGCGGGTGGGTTAGGACTGGCCTGCCAAAATCAGTAACCTGTCGTAGGCCGGGTCGGGTCAGTCCGAGCTGGTTACTTTTTTAGCTTTAATTTGGAGTGGGTTTTACACGCCCGTTTATCATATTTTGAGAGATCGCCTACCAAATTGGTAGGTCATTATATATATAGTAAAATCTATCTATAGTGATATTCTATATATGAATAAACTCTATGTAGTCATAAAAAATTCTATTCTCAGTTTGAGATAGTTTTAAATAAGAATAAACTTCATATTATAATAAGTTATAATTTTTCTAATTTCTGTCTTAAAGAAACTTGTTTCCACATAGTAATAATTATATATATATATTACATTGAAGATTTTAGATGAAATAAAATATTTATTTGAAGTTATTTAGAACAATAATTTACAGTTGTTATTACATCTTTTAACTTGTGGGTATATTATTTGTTAGCATGAATATTTCTTGTTAAAGCCATAATATTTCTAACTTCTCAAGCATGTTTAGAGTTTTTTGACATGAAACTTTTTGTATTTCCAAACTATCATCCTCATAATTATTCTATTTCTCTTCTTGTTTAATTGTAGAAATGATTTCTTTTTTTGTTAAAGCATACATGATTGTTACTCATTTGGATGATTAAGGAAGACATTAATATTCATTTGATTATTGTAATAAAGTTGTCAAATTTAATCACCCAATTCTATAATGACTATTGGATTCTCCTCATCTACTTTATTTGTAACTTACAATTCATCGACATCAAGGGTCCTAATTTTATAATGCTTAAAATAATTGATAATTTTCTGTGTCTTCACATCAATTGCCATGTAGCAATTGTATTTACAATTCCATAAAGGATAACTATCTTTGTTGGTTTCAAAACACTATCTTTATCTGTTTTAAAAGTAGATAATTAAAGCGTTGAATTGAAACCTTAATATTATTAAAACATGAATTGAAATCTTAATATTGTATTACTAAAACATGAATTATGCAAATTAAGAATTTTTTTTAACTATATATTTATTAAGTTATGATCTCTTCGTAATAATAAAATTAGTTAATTTATATTATTATATATATATATATATATATATATATATATATATATATATATATATATGGCATACGCTTTCTTGCACTAGGTTTGTGGAGTGTGTGACCACGCCCGTTATTCATATTTGAGGATCGCCTACCAAATTGGCAGGCCATTATAGTCTACATATAGAGATTTTAATATATTAAGAAAATTTTACTAATTAATTATATGTTCTAGAAGCATAAAATTAAAATACATGACCAACAAAATTTTCACATTTCTCTAAGATTTGAAAACACAAAAACGTTTCACGATGAGAATATTTTTCTCGGGGAAGCATTTCCTTTAAAATTATTATTTTATATGAAGTAATTTATATTTATTATATTTATTGGACCAAATTATATTAATATTAAATATTATATTATAATGTAATTCTTTCAGGTTTTAGTCATGTCACATGTGATGTTACGTGAAAATCATGCATATGAATTACAAATTAAATTTCATTAATAAAGAAAATTCTTTGACCAATAAAAAAAAAAAAATTACGGTACTTTAACCCAGAACTCAAATTAAGAGAATATCATAATTTATTCGTATAAGAAAAAAGTCCAAACAGTCCAAAATAATTCTTTAGTTTTCTTATTATCTTGCACTTTCTCATTCTTCGTTAATTTTTCTCACAGTCCAAAAGTACATTAGTTTTATTCTAAAGATTAGAATATTTAATGGAATTAACATAAAACCAAGGATTGATATAATATTATTTTCAAGTTAATTTAAATGTTGAGGTCTTCCTAAAATAATTTAAATTATATTTGTGCACATGGTATATAATTAAATATATTACTATTTTAATTCAATTGAATCAATTGTATAAATTAAGTAAACCATTTTAATTCAATTGAATCAATTGAAACAAATATCATTCTCTCATTTCTCTCTCACTCTCTCGGCCTCTCATCTTTTGCTGGTGTGGATTTCATTTTGGTTTCTTCATTCTCTTTTGAAGAATCTAGACTCCAAGTTTCAGCATCAAGCTTTTAATAGCAAAAGGAGTTGGTAATTTTCTATATTTTTCTTACATTAACATGTTAATGTTTAAATGTTTGTGTTTCAGCTTGCATCATCATCTTCATCCATTTTACACAATTTCCATGTCCAAAATGCATGAATCTCAACAATAATATACAAAATGAGTGTAAATATTTTAGCATTAGAAATAAGAAATAAGAAATACCATTATTAAAAAAATCAAAGAATCAAAATATTTTTCAATATACTTGATTGTACCCTGATACAAGTCATCAAGAACAAATGTCACTATATTAAGATGTGTTAGACTTTGAAATTTCAATAAGTCCAATAAAAATAGAAGAGTGCTTTATAGATTTTATAAAAGTGGATGATACTTCTGGTCAAGGCCTTTTTAATGTTCTCACAAGCATATTAAAAAATCTTGAACTTGATGTAAATAATGTGAGAGGACAAAGATATGATAATGGGTCTAATATGAAAGGTAAACATCAAGGTGTGCGAAAAAGATTATTAGACATAAATTCTAGAGCATTTTATACACCATGTGGTTGTCATAGTCTTAATTTAGTTTGCAGAAATATATAGTGATAATTTTGGTTTCATTTATAATATGGAAAAGCTAAAATTGCTTGATGATGATAGTTTGCAGAAACATTGTTTAAATCTTGAAAACTTTTAAAAACATGACATGCTCTCTGATATTGATGGTTCAGATTTATATTCAGAATTAAAACTTTTAAAAGAAATTATAAACGTGGAAATTAAAACACCACTTGAGATACTAGATTTTATAAAAAATGTGAATTCTTTTCCAAATGCATGGATAGCTTATAGAATACTGTTAACTATTCATGTTACTGTAGCTTAAACAGAAATAAGTTTTTCAAAATTAAAATTAATAAAATCTTATTTGCGTTCAACTATATCATACGAAAGATTATGTAATTTGACTATATTATCAAGTGAAAAAGATTTAGTTTCTAATTTTGAATATAAAAATTTAATTAGTAATTTTGTATCTCAAAAATCAAGAAAGATAAATTTGAAATAATTTTTTAATATATACTTATATTATTAAAAGACCCTAAAGTAACTTTTATCTAAAATCACAGATATTATTGAAAAGGTCTATCCCTAATAGAGAATGAAGAGAAGTTTTAGAAGTAACGCTTCTCACAGTTACATTAATAATACTACAGAAGTACTAATAACCCATAATAGAGAATAATGAGAAGTTTTAGAAGTACAGCTTCTCACAGTTACATTAATAATATTACAGAAGTACTAATAACCCAAATAAATAATACATCCTGTAGGACTTTAAACTAAGTAACTAACACAAGTACCATCTTGTCAACATTCATGAGATAATTACTTTTCGCCTTCTAAGTTTCCATGCAGCGTTTATAACATCCATAGTTTTTCCGAAAGTGAGAAATACACCCAGTGTTTTAAAATAACTGGGTGTATTTGTCACTTTTGAAAAACTCTGGATGTCATTTTGGAAACCCAACGCACAAAATAAAGACTGAACTACCATTAAGACAAGGAACTACGAACTAATCTTAGTACCAGAGAACTGCAGCCAAGAGTTGTTAGAGCTGCACATAACAGTACCCAAAAAGCCTTCAATCAGTGCCTATTCCAATCACGTTCAAATGCGATAGTAATCTGCAAGCATGGACAACAAGGAGAACAAAAAATTCAGGTGAAATAGCTTGTAATGGTAGGGTAAAATTTAAAGGGAAATGTGACAGCTCAAGCCCATTCAACAGCTACGACATCAAGATAGCAATGGCTGAATTTGAAGTAAAATCGGAGTTTCAGAGTCTGCAGCTGAAGATTATTAACTTTTGTACCGAGGTCTATTACAAACTAACATTATTTGTTCGATAATGTCAACAACTATCAGAAAACCAAACAAAACTAAGATAGAAAAAGTTTGAACTAGCTGAAAGCATTCAAGCCACTGGAAATTATATTGAGTGTGAAAAGGGTATTATGATGCAAATGGTGAAGGGGATGAACATAAGAAAGTCAATGACAGCCGCTCAATGACAAATATAAAATGATCAGCTCTTGATATATTAAGCTGAAAATTGAGAATATTGAAAACGGAGAACATTTTTGCATCAAACCTCAAGACAATACCGAAATGACAGTCGAAATTTATATACAAGAGCCTGAATGTTTTTATATACCTTGTTCCAGATTTTAAATTGATACCAGAGAGGTTCTAACTTCTTTAAACTAGAAAGAAACTAAATGGAAAACATTGTGTTTTCAGAAGATCAACCAAAACACATAAACAATAAAAATAAGGCAACTCGTAACCCCTAAGACACATAAACTTGCTTGGTAAATTAATTTTTAAGAGCTATGAAGATCTATAACATAACAAACAAGGCAACATGCATTAAACAAATAGCTAAAAGGAAACATTTCCATTCAGAGTTTAAAAAATGGGGAAGAAAGAAAACTGACATTAGTGAGGAGCATGAGTAGATGTTGAGGCAGCATGGAAATTTAGCCACGATGGTACAGGCCAAAAAATCTCGGAATATCCTGGGAAGACCGCCAGCCGACCAACAGTATTATCCTTAAAGTTAAAAATCCCAGCACAGGCTCCGGGGTAATCTTCATTAACGCCTTTAGAGAAGCTATTACTTTTGAAGTAAATACAATTCCCTTTACATCCACGGAACTCTTTAGCCGAAACAGCGAACGAACAATCCTCACCGACAAACAACGCCCTATGCTCCAACTCATGCACCGCCGGAACCCACTGATTTCTCTCTTCGTCAAGCTTAAAAGCCTCAAAATATATCCGGCTATCTTCGTATGCCCAGCACCGGAAAATCAAGAACAGGTCCTCACAGGACTTCACGAAGTGATGTCGTCCAGCAGGGATAATGCTATCCATATACGTGACTCGAATAACTTCGAAAGACCGAGAATCTACACTTAGAGTCTTACCCATATAATCCAACGCATAGAATTTTCTATTATGATAAATTATATCTTCATAACTATCATGACCAAGGAATATGTCAGTTAAACTTTTATTTCCGATTTTCCATTCAAACAGTTTACTTGAACGATGAATTGCCATAACAGAGAACTGATCGTCAGGAGCCGTAGCCGTAGAAGCCACAACTTTTACGAAAAAAGTTGGCCTTTTTTTAAACGATCCCTTATAAAACAATCTGCTTCTTCCTTTAGACTTTCGGGCCGGTTCAAGTTGATAAGATTTTGTTATTTCTTTAATTTGATAATCCAACAAGTTGAAACATTTCAGTAACTTGTTATACAGGCTTTGGAAACGATATCCACATAGCGGATCCTTCAGCCGGACTTCGCCGGAGTTTGTGTGCTCGATTCTGATCATCCAAGTTTGCGTCGTTTCGAGTGGGTTGTAGATAGGGTGACGTGGCTCGACGGCGTAAACCGTCGTCTCGGTGAGTAAAAAGTGGTTGGCAGGTTTCCGGATTCGCCTGATTTGCCCCTGAGTGCGACGGTTATTAAGTGGGCCCAAGCGAAATGAGCTCCGTCGTGCTGACTTTGGAATTAGGTTTGTCAAAGGAGTTGAGACTAGAGAGCGAAACATATCACAAACAGCCCGAAAACGGAGAGTATCGTCGATTGAGTGGAGGCGTTTGGATATATTAGTGAGGATGTCTTCCGGAAGAGTGGAATAATCGTGTTTGGGCCGGTCACTCTGCTCCATCTCCATGGTTTGGCAAAGCAAACAAGTTATGATTAACGAAAAACCAGAAAACGAGAAGAGCAAGAAGAAAAGGATTTCAGAAAAGGTGAGACCGTGAGGGTGAGTAGGTGGGTTTTAAGGTTGAAGCTGGTGATGGTTAAGAAATGAAACTAGAGCACACTAGGATGGTACTTGCGGAATTGAAGCTTGCCTTTGATAGGGGAGGGCAAAATTTTAGGGTAGAATCGGAACTGATGGGTATTCGCCTTTTGGTTTTGGTTCCTATCCAAAACCGACTATAATAGGGTTGATTCCAATTCCAAAAATTTCGAATTGATACTATGTGGTTCCAAATCAAAGAGCCAAAACTCGAACCGAGACTAAATAGGATAACCTTAAATTATGGGGGTTTTTTGATATTTTCTATGTCCTATAAATATATAAGAAAATTTAGGATTTGGTTCTTTTTTTTTTTTTTTGTTAGAAGTGTTATCTCACAACAATTTGAGATTAATGTATAGTGGAGGAAATAATGATGATGCCAATGTTTTATATATTGTCTGCTTGATTGTTTGCAGTGTAAAAGTAAAATTATTAGCTACAAGCAAATGCTCACCAAGTTCTAGATCATGCGTGAGAATCAACTTAAGCTTGCAGCAACTCAGCCTACTTGAATTTGCTTTTTTGACTACGTTTTGTGGTTGGGTCATAAATATTGTGTTTACTATTGTGTTTTCTTTTCCTCATTTGTTAGAACTTGGAATGAAAGTTTCATGGGTATTTTTTTTTTTTTATAAATATCGACCGTTTATAAAAGTATCATTAAATAAAATGATGAAAACAAATATGTGTAACTTATATGAATGTTTAATTACAACAAATCATTTATTATGAATAATATGTATGCTAGCTAGTAGTAAAAGCAAATTTATTGCATGAATGATTTAATTTATGAGAATATAATATATTTGTCATTTCAGAAAACTAATAGGGGTGTAATTAACTTTACTTTATAAGGGTTCATTTGTCATTTTTTTAAATTAGGGGGTAATTAAAATTTGCCTAAGTATAGGAAACAGAAACCTATAACATAGGTTCTGGTTCTAGTTCCAAATCAAAGGAACCGGTTCGATTCTGATTGTTTAAAAAAAGGGCAAGTACCCGGACTCCCCCACCCGTAGCCTTTGAGTTCATGGCTGGTAAAAATTCTGCAATTTCTGACAAAGTAACAAGGTATTGGACTGGGTTTCAATTTACTATGATAATAATAACCCTTGGATCATGGGTCTTTGTCCAACGTTGTCCATAATCCAAGGGTAACAAGAGTATGATAGGACAAATTATTTGAAGAGGGCAAGAAAAAAAAAAAAAACCACTAAAGATAGACTCACAAACTTTTCTCATTAATTTTCTCTCACATATGTATAAATGTAGATGACATGATAACTCACAATTGAAATAGTTCGTAATTGGTTAAGTAAAACTCATTATTGGATAGATAAAACTTATTACAAACTAATCAATTGTTTACGTTTGTGAAAGAAAATGAGTGGAAAGAGTTTGTCAATCAGAGTTTCATTGCTGATCACTTAAATTGACCTAGAAAGGTTCCTATCTCTAATATGTTAGCTAGATAAGATGGAGACAGGCAATAGATGGCGCATGCCACCTCAAGTTCGTGTATTAATTATACGTGGGTCAACCAACACTTAGCTCTCATCATCATCCATATGACCAATGCCAAAGGACAAATCCTACTTCCTCCCATTAATGATTTTCCAGTGGAATTGAAAGCTTGAAGATACAAGATGAAAAGCAACAGGACAACCAATTAACTTGTTAAAAGCACTGCTCATAGTCCTTGCATATGATTGGTAACGTAGCGCTTTGTAGTGCTGCAAAAAGGTCTTCAACCTGGAAGCCCTGAGAAGATTATTTGCAAGAAGAGAACAGAAAAATAGGATCATATATATGAGTAATTTTTCTTCATATAACAATAGCATCATAGTTAAAGATTCATATGTATACTATAATGTATACTATAATCTTTAGACAAAACAGCGAATAAACAATCGTCACCAGCCAAAAACACCGTATCCTCCAGCTCATCCACCACCGGAACCCACTCATTTCTCTTTTCGTCAAGCTTGAAAGCCTCGAAATACATCCGGCTATCTTCGTATGCCCAGTACCGGAAAACCAAGAACAAGTCCCCACAAGACTTCACCAAGTAATATCGACTAACAGAGTAACAGGGACATTGCTATCCATATTAGAGTATTACCCATATAATCCAAAGCATAGAATTTTCTATTATGATAAATTATATCTTCATAATTATCATGACCAAGGTACATGTCAATTAAACTTTTATCTTTGATTTTCCTAAAAGCTAAAATTGCTTGATGATGATAGTTTGCAGAAACATTGTTTATCTTGAAAACTTTTAAAAACATGACATGCTCTCTGATATTGATGGTTCAGATTTATATTCAGAATTAAAACTTTTAAAAGAAATTATAAACGTGGAAATTAAAACACCACTTGAGATACTAGATTTATAAAAAATGTGATTCTTTTCCAAATGCTATAGCTTATAGAATACTGTTAACTATTCTGTTACTGAGCTTAAACAGAAATAAGTTTTTCAAAATTAAAATTAATAAATCTTATTTGCGTTCAACTATATCATACGAAAGATTATGTAATTTGACTATATTATCAAGTGAAAAAGATTTAGTTTCTAATTTTGAATATAAAATTTAATTAGTAATTTTGTATCTCAAAAATCAAGAAAGATAAATTTGAAATAATTTTTATATATACTTATATTATAAGACCCAAAGTAACTTTAATCTAAATCACAGATATTATTGAAAAGGTCTATCCCTAATAGAAATGAGAGAGTTTTAGAAGTAACGCTTCTCACAGTTACATTAATATACTACAAAGTCTAATAACCCATAAGAGAATAATGAGAAGTTTAGAAGTACACTTCTCACAGTTACATAATAATATTACGAAGTACTAATAACCCAAATAATTACATCCTAGGACTTTAAACTAAGTAACTAACACAAGACCACTTGTCAACATTCTGAGATAATTAGTTTTCGCCTTCTAAGTTTCCATGAAGTGTGTTAAGTACATCCATAGTTTTTCCGAAAGTGAGAGATACACCCTTGTTTTAAAATAACTGGGTGTCTTTGTCACTTTTGAAAAACTCTGGATCTCATTATTTAACACAAACCCAGCGCACAATATAAAGACTGAACTACAGTTAAACAAGAACTACGAACTAATCTAGTACCAGAGACTGCGACAAGAGTTGTTAGGCTGCCCAGAACATTGATCCAACAAGCCTTCAATCAGTGACTATTCCAATCACGTTCAAATGCGATAGTCATCTGCAAGCATGGACAACAGAGAACAAAATTCAGGTGAAATAGCTTGTAATGGTAGGGTAAAATTTAAAGGGAAATGTGACAGCTCAAGCCCATTCAACAGCTACGACATCAAGATACTATGGCTGAATTTGAAGTAAAATCGGAGTTTCAGAGTCTGCAGCTGAAGATTAATAACTTTTGTACCGAGTTCTATTACGACTAACATTATTTGTTCGATAATGTCAACAACTATCAGAAAACCAAACAAACTAAGATAGAAAAAATTTGAACGACTTAAAGCTTCAAGCTACTGGAATTATATCGAGTGTAAAAGGGTAGCACATGGTGAAGGGGATAACATAGAAAAGTCAATGACGCCGTTCAAACATAAATATTAATGATCAGCTCTTGATAGATTAAGCTGAAAATTGAGAATATTGAAAACAGAGAACATTTTTGCATCAAACCTCAAGACATACCGAAATGACAGTCGAAATTTATATACAAGAGCCTGAATATTTTATATACCTTGTTCCAGATTTTAAATTTATACCAGAGAGGTTCTAACTTCTTTAAACTAGAAAGAAACTAAATGGAAAACATTGTGTTTTCAGAAGATCAACCAAAACCATAAGCATAAAATAAGGCAACTCGTAACCCCTAAACATAATTAAACTTGCTTGGTAATTAATTTTTAAGAGCTATGAAGATCTATAACAAACAAACAAGGCAACATGCATTAACAAATAGCTAAAGAAACATTCCATTCAGAGTTTAAAAAATGGGGAAGAAAGAAAACTGACATTAGTGAGGAGCATGAGTAGATGTTGAGGCAGCATGGAAATTCAGCCACGATGGTACAGGCCAAAAAATCTCGGAATATCCTGGAAGACCGCCAGCCGACCAACACTATTATCCTTAAAGTTAAAAATCCCAGCAGAGGCTCCGGGGTAATCTTCATTAACGCCTTTAGAGAACTATTACTTTTGAAGTAAATAATTCCCTTTCCATCCACGGAACTCTTTAGCCGAAACAGCGAACGAACATCCTCACCGACAAACAACGCCCTATCCTCCAACTCATGCACCGCCGAACCCACTATTTCTCTCTTCGTCAAGCTTAAAAGCCTCAAAACACATCCGGCTATCTTCGTATGCCTAGCGCCGGAAAAATCAAGACCAGGCCCTCACA